GGGGGGCCCGGGCCGGCCCCCGGCCATGTCTGGCCCAGGTGTCCTGGCGGCCGGCCGGTGTGCGTGCCAGCCTGAATGACCGGCACCGCGCGAGATCAGGTTCCAGGCGGGCGCGAGCAACTCCCAGGACAAACCCAACAGGAGAGAAACGAGTGCGTGACACGCAGCAGTCATAAGCCAGCTATTTCCATTGTTTTCCGGCAGGCTTTGTACCTTCTCAAACACACGTGGAAAGCCTCCCGCTGCTTGGAAATCCCAACCCGGAGGAGCAAAGTCCGTGCCAGTGGGCAGCTGGGGGGAAAAAGGCTGATAAACACGAACAGCCACTTCACACACACAGCGGGACTGGCCGGGGTGTGTGCGTGAGGGGGAATAGGTGTGCCTGCGCCTGCAACATTGCCAGGGTAAAAGTCAGACTTTTATGCTCGCCCTCTTGTTTCAGGCAGTCCTTTCGTTTGGTTGATACGAAGACGAGTGCAGGGAAGCGTTTTTGCAGTGTTGTCTGAAAACAACTCCCCTGGGAAGCTGCTGGCGGTTCCACTTGTTTTGCTAGGGAGAGAGCAGAGCTCACGCGCTTATGGCTTAGGTACGTGGGGGCTTCGCGGAGGAGCAGGAGGGGTCCCGGCGCCGGGGCCCGCAGCAGAGACTGACAGAAGGAGAGATGGCAGGAGACGTGCAGGGGGAAGGACAGGGCTTGCACGGGGTACGGCAGCGAGGTTATTTCTGGTGCTGCGTGCACGTCGTGTTAGTTCCTGTTTTCAAGCTGTACTGCTTGCTAGATCTGTTTGGTTTGCTCTGCCACCACCACCCCCACCCCGCCACCCCTGCTTTGCAAATGTCACAAGGTGGGAGAGCAGCCTCTGTGGAAGGATGTTTGGAGGAGGGATCTGAACGTGAGGGCTACCAGGGAGTCAAGGTCAGGCAGGTCATTCTGAGGGGGATAGCAGTGATAGAAACTCTCCAAAGCAGCATGAAAATGATAAAATCAGGAAAAATGTAAATGAGCGGTGCACTGGCAGTATGTGCAGAAAGGCAGAGGTGAGGGGACGGTACCGGACTCTTAAGGTGCTGTGATGCCAGCCCGAATAGCAGAGTGAAACGGGAGCGTGCTAATGACAGCGGAGCATGCGAGGCAGGAATGGGCTCACAAGGGAGGAGATCCCAGTACTCCTGTTGTGACATTGCCAAATCAAAGTCAAGCTTTTGGCTGTGAGAGCACATGAGGTGAATCAGAGAAGGAATCTTTATGATTAAGCAGCAGCTGAGTGCTAGAAGTGAAGAGCTGTCAAGGATAATATCAGGAGTGTATGTGTAGAGGACAGTGGGTTTATTTGCCACGATAGAAAAGGATTTGAAAGGGAATACAAGAAGCTTGTACT